GCAGCATGTAGTAACCACATGGCATCATTTCAGGATTCCCAAACAGCTGTATCTCTTACATGTAACCTCATGGTAATATATGGGAATGAAATGGTAACTCTGTCTTAAAACACTCTGGATATGTCTAACATACTGGTGATGGTTTTGCACTTAAACATACTCAACTCTTTAAAAGCACATACTTTCAGATATGTATGTGTTGATATTGGCCATAGTCTTCTGCAATTTTCAATCTTCTATACATTAAAGCAAATGTTAGGAGAGTAACAGAAGTTAACCTTAGAAAAAACTGACGTTGTTCTTTGCCTTGGCACCTGAGAAGTGCCTTCCTTCTTAACAGTGTCTGCGTGCTTACATGCAGTGAAGTACAGCTACATGGAAAAACACATTTCCGAATGAAAGAATGACTAATTAAAAGCCAGATGGTAACATCTACATATGTAAGTGTAAATCATTCTACTTGGTAGGTGATTGGAGGCAAATGGCCCATGTTGCATTGACTTTAATATGAGAAGGTGCCTTTGCCCCTGATCTTCAATACTGTTGACAAGGCTGACACTGAGGATTTCAACCTTAGGCTTTTGGAGCCAGGCTCTGTGATGAACAGTTACTATTAAGAAGTGCTCTTTTGGTGTTTCACATTTTCAAGTAAACTTTTCTGTTCTATCTCAGCTTGCCTTGTGAAAACACTGATGCATTTGTCATCTCTTCTGTTACTGGCTAATGATGTTCTGCCCTCAGAGATATTTGTTGAAGGGACTGCTTCCTAACATTTTATTCCCACTCATGGATTTCCCAAAGCTAATGTTTCAATATGTATTTTCTTGTATGACTCAGAGGATTTTTCTACAGCAGAAATGGGTGATGTTTTTGTAACTCTCTTGGAATCTTTATTTGGGTATTTATGCTTTGTTTTTCTTCATTTTTGGGGAAGTCAAGATTGAGAGAGAGTAGACATTGTCCTGTGCATTTTCTTCCAAAAATACTGTTTCTACTTTCAGAAGCAATGTCTTTTCTAGTCTCTTCTGGTAACTTTTGTCCAGTTTACATGGACAAAAAAAGAAAACAGATATAAGGCAATCCCAGCAGCTTGCTTTCTTTTTTTTTTTTTTTTTTTCTCCTCATGTAAATGTGCTCTGGAGCAGTTTGGTGTTTAACCTAAATTTCATGGTTTTCTACCACCCTCTGCCTGCCTTGACCGTATGCAGCGTCACAGTTCTTCACTGTCGCTCAATGGCTGTTTTGCTGGTGAATTGACATTACTCTAACCAAGGAGCCTGTCATTCACAACCCAAAACTGCCTTTTTTTTTTTTTTTTGATTGTTTTTCTTTAACTTATTGGTGGTTCCCGTGGATTTCAGTGTGACTGACAACATTAGTGCCCCAATAAGCTGCAGGAAGTACTGTGTGCCAGCTTGCATTAAAAAATTGTAACAGTGGACTATGTTGATTCCTAAAAGCATGTGTGTATGCATATGAAGTACTGCCCAGAATGTTTTATTTCTTTGATTGGTAATACAATGATGTCTGTGTTTTCAGTGGATTAATCGTGATTACTGATCTGGAAGTCTGATGTCTACAGATGAGCTCTGCCAAAAGAATTCTTGTGGCCTGGAGCCCTTGGGGTCTTGCAGCAGTCATGCTGACTGTTTATTACTCCTGTTCAGCTTGGGTAGCTGCTGCAGCCCAAATAGCAAGAGGGAAGCATACTGGGGAGAAGATATATAACCAGCTATCCAGACTTGGAAAGACAATCTGAAACATACTCCAGAGAGCTTTTGGCACGTATTCTGTGAAAGCTAACATTGGTGCTCTTCTTTTTCTTCCCCCAAGACATTTTGCTTAAGCACAGCCGTAATTTTGTATTTTTTGCTTAAAACACACCAAAACAACAAACATCAAAAACCTCACTTACCTTCTTTCTCACAGAAATCCTGAGGAGAAACAAAAGACAGTCTTATATTGTTATCCACTGTTGTCTGATCCCTTATTGCAAGGGACTTCTGGTGTCTCCAGCTGATGTCTTTGGGCAGTTCACTGCTGCTACTCAGCTGAGCTGATCACCTCTCTCTGCTCTGGGGCAAGAGTGGTGGCAGTAAGGGAACAGGCTGAATATGGGGATAGGGTTGCTCCCAGATGGAGAGAGCAGCAAGGCACCAAGACTGGTAGCCTTCTTTGCCTCATGCTCACTTCTGGGAGCCACCAGCTGCCAAGAAATGTGGTGGCATCTCCTCTGGCACTGCCAGAGGCAGTCTCCTGTTGCTGTGTCAGTTCATAGCCTGTCTTGCTGCCCCATCCATCTGGATTATCCCTATTCTCAAAGTGTCAAAACCCAACATTATTTCCATGACTGCTGACTAAAAGTATCCTTTTTCCTGGTTTCATGCATTTGTTCTTTTTTCATGGTGTATTTACCTCCATAATTATGTCCCAGGGAGGACATACAAAGGGAGGGCTGTATTAGAGGAACTGCTGGTGCCAATGTGGCTCAGTTTTGTTGGTATAGCTGCATCTATACCAGGGATTTTGCTGACATAGCTCTGTCAGCTACTGGGTATACATTTTTTGTGCCCCTCACAGACACAGATGTATCATCTAAGATTTCCTTGTGACCTGAGATGAGGAGCAGGGATGGCTGTGAGAGGGAGGGGGATGTCGATGCTGTCTGGCAGCTGAGCAGGAGTGGTGCCAGAGCTCCCTTTCTATCATCCTCTCATGTTGTCTGCCCAGCCTCATCTACCTGGCCCTGCTGCCTCCCTGCTGGACATGGTTTTGGTGATGGTAAATAGGATATTTCTCCTCTGAAGTAATTCAGTCTCTCAGTGCAGCCCAATGTCCTAATATCCTAATGAAAATAGAAAACCTTGTGCTGATCAAGAAACAACCAGCCTACTGTCTATTCTGTGATTATCTTTTGTGTCTCCGCTGTTCTAGTTTGTGAGCATGAAATTTTAAGTGTCAATGCAGGAAAAGAAAGGCAGGATCTTCAAGGAGTTTAAAGTTTGTCGTTTGTTTTCACTGGCAGTATTTTCATAAGATCTTTCTAACTTAAATATAACAAGTGCCCTTTCTTAAGAGATGGCTGATGTTATCCTTATGGTATACATTTTTCCCTTGCTTTTGTGATCCTAACCTAGGAAGACATCAGCATAAACTTTCTACTGTTGTTTATATTGTGTTTCTAATCTACTTGACCAGATCTGAAAAATGATCGTTCTTGTAACTAGTCTAAACAAGAGTTTTAACATCTTGTTTATTCATAACATTAACCCCTAATGACTGTGGCTTAATCACCTACAATTAGCTTTGAAGGTGTAGACTACATGGGAACTTGGAACCTTGTAATAAAGCTTTTAGCACCCCTGTTAAAATAATAATTTTTAAATATTCACTGTAACCTGCACAAAACAATAATTGGGGTAGAGACATTTTTCCTCAAAACCATTGGACTTAGAGGTTTAGAGTTACAATTTCCAGTGGTATAGGTGCGACACTGCTACTTAAAAAAAACAACAAAACCAACAAACTTCTTTATTTTGCAACTGACCCCTCAGAAATGCATTGGTATTTCTGGTCAGTGGTTTTGATGAGTAGTTCAAATATAAGCTACATACAGACGCCAGGTAAATGATGCATTGTCATTCATTTGAAATAATTGTGCCCGTGCTTTGCAAAATGAGCATCCATGGGTTTTAATGATGCTCTGCATGCAGTAGAGTGGCGTGACCCCTGTAAATGCCAGTCTTCTGTGTTATCTGTACTCTGTGTTGCAAGAGTGGCGGTAAGGCAAAGGTTGTGCAGCCTGCCTTGGGCCCACCAGCAGCTGTGGCAGGGGCAGATGTTCCTAGATACGAAGGATCTAGGATTACACAGAGACCCTTGGGCAGCATCCCATGCTTTACCCATGCCAGCACTCTGTTTGCATTAATGGAGAAGTATGCACACTGCTTCCTTACGTGCTTGAGCTCATTTTACTTGTCAGTGTCTTAGTGTATTCCCACAGTAAAACTTGAAGGCTCAGACCAGTAACATCAAGAAACAAACTGGACTATTTTTAAAGCTTTCACCATTAAAATGTGTGGAATGTGACTTAGTCTGTGTGGCAGATAAAATACTACAGATAAGTCACTTTATTTCATGCTTCCTGTGAACATATTTAAAATACTTACACCAGAGTGTTAGTGTACTTGTGCACGTGCTTCCAGCTATGTTTTATTGAGGGATGATTCCAGATGTAGCAGGTTAAATCGGCACAGCAGCACTTGTTGGAAGGCTTGTGTTTGAAATGTCTCATATAACTTTGGCAAAACAAGCTGATAGCGTGTATGGTAACCTTGTAAGTTCATAGGCACAGAATGTCTCAGTAGGAGCTGTTTTGAATTCCATACTTGGCCTGCAAAGTTATTTTGCAGGAGTTCAGTGGAAGTCATTTTTTTATAAAAATAAAGAAAAGTAATCTGGCTGTTTATAAAGAGAGAATGTTTGTGGGGCTATGTTCAGAAACATTGATGTTTCTGTTATGATTTGCATCTTAAGAAATGTGTTTCCTATTTGTCACCAATAGAAAACAAGTATTTTAGACAAATGTACTTTTGTGGGTTTTTTTTTTAGCCAGTTTTATAAGCAGAGTAAGGGAGAGCTTCAGTTATTACCAGAATAATTTTTTTTTTCCTCCTTTTATGTCAATTTGAGGAAAACATGCAAAGAAATAAAACCACCAAAAAGCTGTATTTCCTCCAGATAGAAATACTTATATTTAAAATGGTCACCATGAAAACAAAGTGCCTAATGCGAGTAGCAACTAAGTTGAAAAACCTAGAAGGTCCTGTAACACAGCCAGTCTCACTTAGAAATTTAACTTATTGTAATGGTATTGAAACTTGAGGCCATTATGTCAGAGAAGAGGCAGCACAAATACTGTAAATTTTACTCATGACGAGGAAAGGCCAAGATGCTGCAGAAACCAGTCTTTTTTTTTCTCTTGATCTTTTTAACTTCAAGCAAGCAATAAATCTATTGTATCCTGCATGCCAAACTGAAGTCTTAATAAAAGAATTTGTTCTTGGTAAACATGACAGAATTAGGGCTATATTGAAAATGGAATCAGGATTAGTGGTATTGAAATGTGAGGAATTTAATTATTTTCCATTCTCCCCAAGGAACATGTTCTCAGATATTAGAAACAGCATTAGGGGACTAAGGAAGGACTTAAGTGCTGCAAGTTTGAATTCAAATTAGAGTTGTATTCTCTCCCATGGGACAACTAAGCCAAGAAAGGTTTTTGATTTTTGAGTATCCTACCTCAAAACACTGCTGACAAGCAATTCACATGGTACCGTTGTCAAAAATGTAAGTTATTTTCATTTAATGACTCCTATATGTCAACTTTATTGCTTGCTCTGTTATGCTGAAAGGCTTCATGTGCAGGCGCGAGGCAGCTCCCTACATTCATTTAGTTGGTGATGATGACAGGAATTACCCTGACAGTGGAGACATTTTTTCACTATTCTCAAAGTCATCTGGAGTAACAGAGTTTGTTTTACCAACAGGAAATATCAGCCAAGACTTGAGGCATTTGCTTTCAGATGCTTACATCTGTACATGCATTGTAGCTTCAATTTCTGCTTCCTTTCTGTCCCTTTTGCACTGCTTTCCTTTAAGTTGTAGTAAGATCTTCACTTTCTCTTTGGGTAGCTACCAGGCATGAACAGCACTTCTCAGCTTTTCTTATCTGACATCCTGTTTGCCTGGGAATGGAGGCAGAAAGGAGATTGGGCTAACATTACAGTAGAAGGGATCATCAGAACGGGGGTCATCTTGTTCTCAGTATCTGCACTTTGTGTGAGGGAGCCACCAGAGATGTCTGTAATACCATGGGGAAGCTGCATGGAAGGCTAGATTCTTGTATGTGCTTAATACAGCATACGTGGAACCTAAAGTGACAGTTCTTTCAGATGTGAATCTAACCCATGGATGCTTCAGTTCTGACTTCAAAGAACTGTTTGTCCAGACCAGTTCCTGCTTTCTAATTTTCTTCCTTTCTGTGACCCAAATTTTTATTGGGCTCTAGCACTTCAGTAAAGTTTTAGATAAGCTTCATTATATTTTTGGATTGTACTTCCAGAGGAAGTTCAGCAATTACTTTAAAAAGCATAGTTTGAAGTTTCAATATCAATACTCACTTTGATGAGACTTTTGGATCTGTATTTCATCCCTAGAGTGGTCTACACAATGAAGGAAGAAAAAGGATAAATGATAATACTCTTTAAGAACTCTAGTACTTCCCCAAACACTGTTTTTATTTTCCCCGCTACGGGTAAGCAGTTTATGCATTGCCTCTTAAGTCCGTCTTAAGAGGCAGTTACAGAACAAGAAACTTTAATTATAGTTCAGAATTACTCTGTTCAACTTCTTGTCCTTATTGCATTGTTTCTAGTGAGCTATGTACAATGCTGCATTGAAATATTTGTGACTCCTCAGAAAAAAATGCGTACTTTTCCAAGAGCTGCATACACTTAGGACACCATCTTCCTCTCTGTCATCTGTCAACGCTGTGTTCATGTCCAAAAAAAGAGAAAAAAAGTGGTGTTTCCAGCCAGCCAGAAACCCAAGTAACCAGAGTCTCCTGTCTCATCCTGCCTTTTTGACCACAAAATGTGGCTTTTTTGGAGAACGTGACCTCTGACACAGTGAGGAGAAATGCTTTGCTGGTTAACAAATGTCTCTGCTGAGATGCCACTCCACAGCTTTTCAGTGTGGACAGGATGGGAGTGGTTTGGGTGTTTTTTGGAAGATTTTGTGCCCAGAAGAAACAGTCTCAGTCTTGGCTTTTTGGTGTTGGAAAAGGGAATTTTAAAGTGTCCAGGCTGTCCTTCCTTCCTGCTCTCTTTCCCAGTGGAAAGGCAGAGGAAGCCCAGGCCTGCTGCCTGTGTTTGTGTGCAACATCAACGTCCACTGTTTTGCATCATGCTAAAAATGTTTTCCTCCCCTTCCCTTTGCTTGCAGCGTTTCCTGCCAACCATCTCTTCTGTCTCCTCTTCACTGTTATCAGCCCTGGCACATACTGCTTTTCTTCTTTGGTTGATTCAGATATGCCTCTACTCTCTTAGCTTTTCTCTCCCCCCATTCCCCAGTTAGATGGAAAGTGCTGAGGCTATGAAAATCTCCTCTCTGTGAGCAGAAAAGATACTAAATTAAAGAGCTTGTGATCAGACTCACTTATCAATTATGCCAGAGGTAACTTTTAAAGATATTTGTGTTGTATGAACATAACAGCCTTGTGGTGAGCTAATGAAAACAGTGGAGAGGAAGTATTGTTTTACAGCTAGTAAGTCGGTCAAAGTCTTTGGTCTAGCACTGAGGCAGTAGCGATGTGAGTTTATAGTGATTAATAAAACATAATCTGGCTGCTGTTCACTTAGCTCAATTGTCCAAAGTGGAACATTTCACTGACACTTTGCCCCTCCCCAAGAGACAAGAAAAGTATGTTGGCTTTTCTGTTACAAAAAATATCTTAGGCAGGTAAGTATTTATCCTTGATTTGACCTCTTTCTTTTTCAATGCGTCCTGTATATCAAGCTGTTAAGCTGCATAGTGGCATCTTGTGCTGTGCTGTTGCTATCTTCAGTTACACTTGTGTATAAAGCTGAAATGCAGACACAAATCAGCCTCTCCCAGGCTCAGTAGAGACATGGCAGTCCCTACCCTTCCCCTAGGAACTTCTGGATCTATTGGGCTGTTTTGGAGCGACCCAAAAACCCACTGTAGCTCTTGAGTTCCCGAAGTCGTGGCTGGGGAAGGTAATACTGGGCCCCAGTTGCATCTGTACAGGGATTGAGGAGGTGGCCAGGGTTCTTTCCATCACCATGCGATTGTTGGAGGGGTTTGCTCATAAATCATTGAGAATTTGAACCTGGAAAGGTACTGAATGTCCTGAACTCCTTTCGAGTCAATGGGAGTTCATAGCACTCAGTCTCTTGAAAAATTGGACCTTCTGGAAGTCGGGTGTATAAAATACTTGTGCTTTTACCTCACAAAGCCACAAAGCTCTTCAGAAAAGGGCATGGAGCATACTATAAATGAAGTATTCAGAGGGGAAAACAAAAATTTCCTGACTTATTCTTGGCACTAAATATTTAATCATGACATTTGGTCTAAGAAAATGTACAAACTCTCAATGTTGCCAATTTGTTTTACCCACAAACCGACAACAGACAAAGTTGTGCACACAAAGGTTATTTATTTTGAGCACAGCCAAGGAATGTTAGTATTCCAAATGCTTCCTTATATCTCCCCATGGGATCTCTTTAATAAGTTGCATAGTATTTTTCAGTATTAGAGGATAGATAATATAAGATAATGTAAGATAGACATGGTAGGTCTGTACTTAAATACACTAGTTATGTTTTTTTCTTCTTTGAAGGAAGTGCAAGCAGAGAACGAATAGTTTGTGGACAGTGTTAAATTAAAAAGCAAAAACTTCAAAGGCCTTTCTAACAATTTATTCTAAAACTATCAGCCAAGAAATGATGTTCCAAGCAAAATAACTAATTATGTGGGAGGTTAGGCAAGCATTGATTTAGTTTTGGGGGTTTTGGAGTGGTAGATAATTCTTTAATAGCAACAGAACCCATGACTTAAATCTCTGGCCTTGAGTCCAGGTAGACCCTCTTCTGAGGACAAGTTTATACATAACCTGTAACAATATTCTTGGAAAATGTGAAAGCTATTTGCGTATTTTCTGTGGACCTTGGCTGACTCTAAAACGCTCCTCATTAGAGATTGAGAGCAAGGTTAAAGAAGGATAAGGGAGTGCCACAGTGAGAGTTCGTTAGTTCTTTCAAACTTATATTAATTTAAAATAGCATTGCTCTTAGAGAATTTAAGGGCATTTATCTGGAATATCAGGCAGTTTGACAGTGATCATGTTACTATGAAAAACCAGTGGGGCTTAGTGGGCCAAGCATCACTATTTTATATCATAGCACATGACAAAGTAAGACTCCAAGCATAGAGCTTTAGCATTTAACATGTGGAGATGTGGAGATAAAATTCCTTTCTGTGCACTAAAGCACCAAACTCTTTCTCATTTTGGCAAGAGTGTTAGAAAAAGGGGAGTGCTCTTGTTACTTGTTTGCTGTTTCTTCAGTTCTGGTGTAACTTGTGATAATATTTCTCCTTAGACTGTTTTGTGCATTTGCTTGTGGCAAGTGATTGTGCCAATTCTAAATTGCTCTAGCTAAGCTGTGCTCTTGGCCCTCACTTATGCAAGGGGTGGTGTTGACTTTTGGCTGCAGGTTTCTAAGAATTCTTAAGACCAAGATGTTACCAGACAAGTACTTGCTGAGACATAAATTCTTCTTGGGGAAAAGTATCTGGACATTTGTTTTTTCTTCATCTATTATCTAGCAGTTATCACTGAACAAAAATTAAAGAAATCTTGAGGCTTTTGGTGAAGCTGGTTGGTTTTGAAGCAGTAGACTTGTAGGGTTTCTGTACCAGTCATTGTGATGTATATCATGAGAGTGCAAATATGTTATGTTTGTAACACTTATCTTAGATGCTACTACTAACTTTTTGTACCTGGTTGTCCACTTGCCATGTGTTGTATTTTTATATTAATAGTGGATATGCAGTTTGTGGGTTTAATTTGGTTATGCTGTACCTGCTTTAACATGACCTGTGTTTCTCTTTTCTAGGAATAACATGCTTGAAAGTACTTGGTAGCGCTGATTACCTGTACTCCAGCACAAGAGCTCCAGCCCAATCCTTTTCAAACACTTCTCTCAGAACATGGGGGAAAATGATGATGAAAAATACAGTCAAGCTGGCCAGATATTTGAAAACTTTGTACAAGCATCAACATGCAAAGGTACCATTCAGGCCTTTAATATCCTCACTCGCCAACTTGAATTAGATCCTTTGGACAATAGAAACTTTTACACCAAACTGAAGTCAAGAGTGACCACGTGGAAGGCCAAAGCTTTGTGGAACAAGCTTGATAAAAGAGCAAGTCACAAAGAATATAAACGTGGAAAATCTTGTATGAACACTAAGGTAAGTAGAGTTCGGTTTGGGATTTTGTAGTTTAGAGTCTTTCACACTTTTTTCCTGCAGAAGCAAGGTTTCTGTCATCACATGCAATGCATCCATTCATGTAACTCTCCCTTGAAAATACTTTTTGAAATTATGGGTGATATCAACTGATTTTGACAAATTTTCAGGTATTTTTGTTCTGCAAGTTTTATGAAAACACACGGTATGTAGGAGTGATCCTTAAAGCACCCTGCTTTACGATCTGCCTCAATCACGCAAAAAGCTTTTCTACCCTCTTTGGACATCAGTGTCGATAAGGCATAAGATGTAAACTCATGAGGCAGTAGATTTCATTCATTCCAGGCTCACAAGAACTACTGGCTTTATTAAACAGTGTTCTGAAAGGTCCAAATCATAGCATATTCAGCAGGCTTCTCAGTTTCCTGCTTTGTGGAAACTGTAGAATATCAGGCCTGGCCTGATGCTTTTCAGCAGCAGTTCTCAAACTGTTCTCTGGGAAGTGCAGCTTGGAGGTCTGGGGATCTGTCTTTGTCACCTAGCATTGATTCTAGTTGCTAAACAACAGCACAAGAAAATCCTGCACTATTTATGGATCTAAATACTTTCCTGTAACTGCTTTTTTGCAAGCAGAATGTGGATAATTGCTATGTGGTAGTTACTGAAGGAAATGGTTGGCTTGGTTGGTCGTGAAAAGGGCAGGGTATTATCTTCTCTTCAGTAGGGCATGCAATACCATATTTTGATACAGAGAGCCACTGAACATTGGTATAAATCTTGTTGACAGAGCTGTACAACATACTCTAGCTCATACCACTTGTTTCATGTAGTTATCACAGAATATTTTTAATAGCTTTCTCTTGGAGCAATTTACTGCTAAGTGATGGCTAAAAGTTGCCCCAAGAAGGTTAAGTTTAAAAAAGCTACTTGACTGTATTGAGCAGAGAGGGAGGGTAACTAGACACAAAAATGAAGAGGACTTTTTAATTGAAACTATCACCGAAGTGTTATTTTGGACTCAGTAGATAGGCAATGTTGACAGTCTCTTCCTGTTTGCATCATTGCATTGAGGCGTCTCAGGAGCACCAGGGAGAAGGACACCATGTTACCTTCAGTATATATATAGAGGTCTCCGGTTTTATTTATTCATTTTGAATAAAGTCCCAGTGATTATGAATATCTTCTAAGGTAACAGATGCCTTTACTACAGTTTTATTTAGTAAGTGAAGCGTGCCATTACAGCTATTTGCACTGTTTTCCTGACAGTCTCTGTTTTTATCTTTTCCTTTCATCTCCTTTTTTTTTTGACTCTTGCTTCCTTCCTGCCTTTTGTTCTTTTGAAAAGGCCTTGAACATATGTCATTGAGCATCTTCATGATGAAAACATACAGGAAAGGGAAGGAATGAGAAGAGGTCTGATGGTTAACAAATTATAGGAGACATTCCACATGCACCTTGCCTTACATATACAGCCTCAGGCCCACATTTCATAGTTAATTTGAGGAAATATTTGCAACAAAAAAAGCAGTTTTAAGACACATGTGAAATATAAAAATGAAGTTCTCTCTCAAGTGTGACAGTAAAATGCCAAGGCCTGGTTCTGCAAAGTTCCTGAGCAAAATGATTGATTTTTATGTATGGGAGAAGGCTCATGGCAATCAGTTGGTACATAAAATAAAGCCTGTTTAGTGCTTTACAAGGCTGCCAAGCTGGAGGCTAATCAACACCTTCCACAGTGTTCGAAGTATGGTATTACTGCTCTTTGCAAGTAAAGGTTTATTTTTAGTGGTGTGGTGGAAGTATTTGCAGAAATTAATAGACGTATCTGATGCACATATGATCAAATTACAGTAGAGTTTAGAACGTCTGTATGTGAACAGTGTGTGTATAGATAATCTGTGAAATACTTGTAGATGTTCATTATGAGCCTGGACTATGCCCAGACCTGTACTTCACTGTGTCATCATGCATTTAACGAGAGAAACATGAATCTTCAGACTGCTGCAAAAAAGCAATAACCACAGTCTGCAGGCTCTGTGGGGATATCTACCAAACATTCCTCACCCGTGAATCACACACAGCCTGCTGTGAAAGCCTATCTATGCAACATGAATGAGAGGAGACATGCTGGGAGAAGGCTGTGGACTCTCTGATCACTGCAGTGGTGTGCTCTGACAGAACCACTTACAGATAAGGAATTCTCAGAAATGCTGGCAGTCCAACCAAAATACCAGTGTAGAGAGATTAGGCTACAGTATGCGTGCCATGATTTTCCTTGAGTGCAACTGGTGATTTTAAGTTCGTCTGTCTTGCATGTTATGCCAGCTACCATTTTTAGTAGTGAAGCAGGCAAACAGGAGTTAGCAGGCTAAATCCTGACAACAGCTCACTTCTGTGCAGCTGCCTGGGGGCTTGTTGAAGTAGATCATCCCAGAGTAAAAAAATCTTTCTTGTTAAAGCAGGATCACAAAATGAGCTAAGTGGATTTTTGCAATTGCAGTTCTGTAAACAGAGCCAAGGTTGCTAGTAGGCATCATTAAAAAAAAAAATGACTTGAAGGCTTTATATGAGCTCGTGGCCATGGGCTCTGCAGCTGAGTCTGCAGCTTCAGTTCTCAGATATGGCTCTGCAATCTGGCTTCTTGCAGTCTCTCCAGTCTTTGCAGGAGATAAAGGAAATTAAACACAATTGGCATCTAAATTACTCATGGTGGTTTTTTTTTTGGTGTGTTGTTTTTTAAAAACTGACAATCTACTGCCTTACCCAAAAACTGTTCATATTTTTTGCACTCTTATTTAAGAGGCGAATGTCGTACTTGTTGATTTTTGCATTTATAAACTCCTTAGCCACACTTAAGTTACTCATTACAATATACATAAGTTTTATACATACAGAACGTACCACTACCACTAAATAACAATAATCTTGTGTTTTAACTGCTCTTGAAGAACATTGCCAAATACAGCTTTCCAGGCTTCTACAATTACATGATTTTAAGCTGGATGAATAAAACCAGTTGAACAATTTTCAAGAAGTTCAAACCCACTGCTATTGCAGAGTTGCCGTATCATGGACATTATTTTCCCTTTTATTCTTTGTAGAAGAAAACAAAAAAGCACCCCAAAATAAAACTGAAGTGCTATAGAAAGACATGCACAAAATTGGGGTGGGAATAAACTTTTTCTGAAGCTGTAGGAGTCCACCTGTATGTACGCTAAGTCTATATGAAACAGGTACTTCCTTCCATCACCAACTTGTAAAATAAAAATGAATACTGTTCAGAATTGCTGTTTCTGAGAGCTGGCATTTGTTCACTGCTACTAGAGAGAAATGGAAGTCTGTCCTAAGTAGGCAAAGCTCTAGAAACCTGTGATTTTTGCAAGTGCGTCTAGAAAAAGAGCACAGATTTATTATCCTGGCAAAGCTTCTCTCTCATTTTCATCTTTTGCTAATCAGTGCAGAGTAATGTGCTCAGAATCTGTAATGATTATTTATTTCTTCAGGGAATGAAGCATAGCTAGACAACTAAAGAAGATTAAAGTTTTAGCGTATGTTGTTCACTGCGCTAGCAGTTTGAATGTCTCTAGTCTAACGTTTGGAACATGCAAAACAAAATGCAGTGATGAACAAGAATTCATCCAGCTAGTTGCAGTGTATTCAGTAGCCTTTTTAAGACATGGGAGCATTCTTCAAACATTTATTTGAACCTCTGTGTATAGAGTAGATTCTTTACTTGCACTTGATTTACTGGCCATTTACCTGTGGAAATTATACAAATATATGCATGCTTGTATAAATGAGGCTCCTGCTGATGTTTGAGATGTGTATGTATATGTATCAGAGGACCTGGCTTGTGCTGTCCACCTGAAATTCTGACTCTCCTCATGCTTGAGAAGAGGAGAGGCCACTGCACATGAAAACATCCCAGACTTAATCTGAAGAGAAGTGTTGATTCTCTAAAGCAGATGTGGTGTTTTCTTCCCCTTCAAACATGTGTGCTGATTTTTCAAACACATGCTTACATGAAGGAAATTCTGAAGTGCTACTATGTAGTTACCAGCTGCCATGGTAGACTGGTTTCAAGGCCTAACTGGACAAAATTAGCATAAAGCAAGTAAATAAAATCAAGCCAAGAAGTGCTGTGTATGTAAATACACACATACATCCTCATTAGTAGATGTGTAGAAACATATAAATTCCTGAAAAGCAAGTTAAATGATCTCGAGCTCTGTCTCTTGTTGGCCTGTCTAGTTTTCCTTGTTCCTGGATTTGGCCTTTCAAAGCTTGTTCTCAGCAGATCAGGTTCCCTTCCAAAACCTCTTCTTGCAGAACTTTTTTCAAGAGAATGTCTCTAAAATTCTTTATGACCTTATTTCCATGGCTTATGTAAAAAAACACAGTGGCTCTGTTTGGTGGTGTCCTATGCTGTCCAGTCTTACATGGACTCAGTGGCATGTGCATCTCTGCTGTAGGGAAGGCTTTGCAGACTTCTCTGGCATGGTGCTGCTTTAGCAGAGAGCATGTGGCTTGAGGGGAGCCAGGTAGTTGGGGGCCAGGGTGTGAGTCAGCTGAGGAGCAGCCATGGATCAGGAATGGCGCTGGAGGCTGGAGGTTCTGCGCCTGACTCAGTGTTGGCTCAGAGCCTTGTCTCTGATACTAGCCACAGTGGTGTACCCATGAATGATAAACCAGGATGGTCTTTATCGGTCAAACCCCTTCTGAATCCTTTGGGAGTTAATAAAGCTTACTTTACCTGGTGCTCTCCTTCCCTGGATTTGAGTAAGGGAGAGGTACCCCTGGGCCATGCTGGGTACTGCCATGTTACATAGCTGTAGGGTAGTCAGCAGGATGAGGAGTGGATACAAGGTCATGCTCCTTGTTATTAGGTAGAAGTTGGCTTCCTACCAGTCCTTGGTTGTTTACAAACATTCTATTCTGCAGTCTTGGCCCTCATGGTAAGTAAGGCAGGTTGGGCTCTGGATGTCTTCCTCTCTCCTGTCTCC